ATTCCTGCTTTTCCTAGCATCTGCCTGTATTTAGAGAGTTAAAGCAAACTTTCAGATTATTGATTATTACACTAATTCTGAATACTCAGTGCTATTGTTACAATATATAAATGTATAAATGATATGCCATGAATATATAGATATATCTACACTGTAAATACCTGGTTACATGTTGAAGAAACTTAACTGCTGTAACTTATTTTCTTTTCCAGGTTTGTAGTAACGAAGCCACTTGCATTTGTAATTTCTCCTGGGCTGGGACAGACTGCAGTATTGATGATCCTATCAGGGAGCCTAGTAACAAGAAGGACGAAGGACCCAAGGGTTTGTGTGATTTCACTTTTGATGTTCTCTCAAGCATTTGTGACATTTTGCTGTTGATATATGGTAGTAGAATTAGCATGTCGAAATAAAATAACATTGTACAGTGCTGTTTAGACCCAAACAGTAAAGTTCTGCTTCGTGTAGATGAAGTGGGTCTTTCTGCTTTGAGAATTGCTGAAACTTCTTTTTCTAACCTAAAGTTGAGGAAGATTTAAATCATAAAAAAGGTATGTACTTTCTGTTTTCTCCTTCATCCTGTTCTCAATTTTTTACAATTTTCTTTGTGGTTGGAATCTGACTATGTGTAGCCCTTATGATTTAGCTGATAATTGAGTATTTATGTTTTGATAGAAATTTCCAGTTCCCTTTATTGTTCTCAGCTAATTCAGTGAGCCGTGGCATAAAAAAGGGAAAAATGGAATGTACCTGGAGGAAAAAAAAAACTTTGTTTGCTTGAAATCATATTTCAATGGGAGGAAAAAGAAATAATTTAAACTTTTAAGGACTTAAATTATTTGTATGATCATTATTGCTTACTTTTAGGAATTAGTAGCTTTTTCAGCTGCATATGAAGTAGAAATACAAAGAGCAGCTATTGAGGAAATAATCAAAAAAGATTTTCAAAGAGAAGGAAAAGCACTTGAGATTCTCTCTGACTTCTCTGCCAAATAATGTTTTTGGATTGTGCAGTCCAACTCTTTAATGTCTTTCCTGTCATCAGGATGTTGTCCAACATCAGACTATATTTATCCAGTGCTGTGCATTTACAGACAACGTTCCCAGTAAACAATTGAGAAACCCAAACAAAATCTTTTGCTATGTCCCTGTTGCAGGTTCTTCTGTCCCTTATGCAAGGCTGTGGGGAAGAAGAGAGTTGTTTAAAAATGTAGTTCTAGGAGTTCAGACTTCCGTTGATTACTCTCTAAAATATCCAGGGCTTCAAGGGGGGACAGGATTTTGTTATGTCCTTCCAGAATGGCTCTACTACTGTCTTGTGTGCCCTTTTCTTTTGCGCCATAGCAGAAAAGTTCCAGTAGATCTTTACCAAGAACTGTTAAAGAGATAATCTTAAAACAAGTTACCACTGTGAAGGAGGCTCTCTAGAACAGTCCAGATTTGTATTAGGGAATCTGCAGGTGCTTCCTGGACTCCTAACCCCACCACTGCTCAGCGTAGAGCTTCCTGGTTTGTACCCTGCCTCACAAAGCTTCTTGTAATTCCATTTCCTATAAAAACCTTTCTACCTGGAATGCTGCTCACAGTCTTAAAAAAAAATAAATAGCAGAGTACAGGCTACAGAGCTGGTTACTTGTCTTTGTGTGTGGATGAGGAAAGCAGTGTCTACACTGTGACACTGAGAGTACATTCATTTTATACTGCTTATTTCCAAATCCAGGAGGTAAGACACAAGTCCCTCCTCTCTAAAAAGGTCTATAGGAAAGGCAGCACAGAAGGTACACTTCTCTTGGTTAAATTTTTGTAATTCATATTAACTCTAATTCAGAATGGAAATACTTTTGTGAATATCAGTATGTCAATGCTGAAATATTCTGGGGAAAAGTCTTAAAGGAATAGCATTTGTATAGATGACTGCTACTAGGAACAGATATAAAGTTTAGACTGCATTTTTCAGTGTTCTCTGTAAAAAGGCAGAATGTTTTCATACAGTGTGGCTCAATGATCTCAAAAGATGGATTGTTTTTACATATGTTCTTACAGTAATTTATTGATGCTGAATCATGTAGAAATGAATTTAGGAGCCTGAACACTGACAGCTACTCTGATCAGTTCTGGTGTGCTAATAGAGGAATTTCTTTGTGAGAAGATGTCAGAAGAACACAGAAGCAATCTTCTGTATTGTAAAGATCCAATGTACTCAAGGAGTTTCCATTAAGTTTTTTTCCCCTGTCACCGGTACTTCTGTTGTCATATGCCAGATTTCAAGGCTAAGACAGAAACTAATTGTTTTTCCTTAGCACTAGGGTTTTGTTACGTTTTTGAAATAGAAGACTCATTATGTGAAAATTCACCTAATAGACTTTAAGACTTTTCACACCAGAAATCCAAGCATTTTGCTTACTACAATTAGAACATGAACAGCTAGGAAGTATTGCTATTTATTTTACATATTGATTGCTACCTCTGTTGCACCTTTCAGACCTATCACCTTTCATCCATCAGTTACTTTTGGCTCCATACTGTATTTCAGGATTTAAAATAGTAATGGTCCTTAATATGCAGGTCTGGAATTACTCTAAACTCAGCAACCTACTGTATCCTGTACTAGCAAAACTACACACCTTTGGCTACTACAGGAACTTTAGTTTACAGTGTTTTGGAATCAGTGGGACCACACACACAGACACATGATTCTTCTCTGCAATTTCATTTGCAGAATTAGGCCTTTGTTAGACTAGTGGCATAGTGTTTGTTTGTTTAATATAAAACATGTCTCAAGTAACCGTGTGTGCTTGTGTATATTTATGAAACAGGAAAGAATTGTGAAACCATTCATTCAGAATGGAGACTATAAAGTTTCAGTCCTTTGGAAAAGCTTCCATTGAACAGGGAATTCAGCTGCTTGCTTGTGGTCTATTAAGACTCAATGAACCTATCAAGCTTTTAATGTTTAACATCAGATATATACAGATGTTTTTTCTCAGAAGACTTCCCTTAAAAAATGAAAAATAAGGCCTCCATGTCTTGAGAGACTGTCTGAAAGTATTGAAATTTCCAGTGTTACCTGAAGCACCTTTTAAAAGGTGTTATCTGTCCTTAGGTCATATAGGTAAATAGAGTCCTATCGATAAATGCAGTAATGAAGGAAAATACTACTAACTCATAAAGGAATGAATACAAAAGTTGGGTTTTTTCTTTTCCTGTGATGAAACTGATTCCAAACTAACAGTTTTCCTTTGCTTAGTTATACGACAGATACAGTAAGTTTTTGGTGATCAAAAGGAAGTTTTCTTATTGATGATTCATTTTCATTTTGGCTATTTTAAATAAGCAGTAGATTGAGGATGTTCCCTTTTAAAGTAAATAATAGAGTCACAAGCTAAAAGGAATAGTCTTACATTTACAGGAAAACTTACTGAAATGTTTGCAAGCTTTCAAAGAAAACCAAATACAGCTCATTTCAGAATTCTTAAAGCTACAGTATTTGGTAAATAGAGGTTTCTTAGGACATTTGAACTGTTTGTCCAACAATGGATTATAGAGTAAATTATTCCTTTGAGAAATTAATTTTTTTCATTTCAGACATATATGTGATTATGTCCTTAAAAAATCTTCCCTTTTCCCTCCACACAGTGAGCATGGCCACTAACAGGCTAATAGGTGCAGTAGCAGGGACCATTCTGGCCTTGGGGGTGATTTTTGGAGGCACAGGGTGGGGAATAGAGTAAGCATTTTTCTTAGTTTGAGTTTTATGTTTGGTGCCTAGTGTGTGAGGTAACCGTATGCTCCTGAGCCCTGTGTATTGCCCCATTAGCTTTGTCATGTGGTGACCGTATTTGTCATGTGATTTGAATGTGTCTGTGTCCTGTGGTTTGTTCATGCAGTGTTGAACCTTCTCCTGTCTGGGATAATGTGGGGCATAAAACAATAAGCTTGTGATGTTTTTACATCACCACAGTAAAAGGAAATGCCTAAATGTTTCCATTACACCAAATTATAAAAATAAGGGGGAAAAGTGAAACTGTCATAAAATGGAGAAGTTGTTTATTACAATCTTTGGGGCTTTCCATCTAATCATAGGTCACATGATCTAGCTAGGAAGATTAAAGCTGTTGATAATAGTATAGACAGTTGGTCTTACAGTAAAGCTGCTGAGTGTTCCATTGCTGGGATTCTGTTACGAAAAGGCAGTAGAAAGCTGAAGTATAGAATTAATATATAAAGAATATGTATGAGCAATTTTTGTTGTCTTCAGACTTTTAGAAAATTAATCTTAAGTGTTAGCCTACTATCTGAATGTCGTTTGATTTATATACATGTCTGTGTTTGTGTATGTATAATACACATATAAAAATGCCCATATAAGAACTGTCTTCTCTCTGCCTTCACTATGCAAACTACAAAATAATTTGCTCTTATTCTACTTTTCTGAGATTTCCAGCTTCCCTGTGTTTCTAATACTATATATTACCTCTGCTGTGTGACAGTGCTATTTGTTTGAAGGGGAAAATACAACAGGACAGTTTTTGATTTCTAATCAGGCTGTGGAAAAAAAGCATTCATATTTAGTTCTAATTACAGCTGCATAGAAAGTCTTCTGGTAGGCAGTTTTTTCTTGTGTCTGAGTTTGCAGCCCTAGACACCTGTTTAGCTTTTGCTGAGCTGGACTGTTACGTGAAACTCAGATTCTGAGGAGAGACACAGACAAGGGAGAACTAAGAGAAAAAAAATGAAGAAAGTAAATAGATAAGCTATTTGAGAAAGATACGTTCTTCCAAATTATAAAAAATTACCTTTTAATTATTGTCAAATTTGTGCACTCCTCATATCTGTAAAGCTCACTACATTTCTTGTCAGTCTAAGTCTCTCATTTATATTCCTGAATACTCTGTGTAGGAATTGCAGGAAGCAATTTTAAAAGCTTGTTTTCCTTTTAGCAAATCTCATCTCTGAACTCACTGATATGTGAAACATGTAATGGCTGCAGCAAAGTTTAGGTCACTGCAGTAAATTTTACAACTTAGGGCATGTACTTGCAGTAGTGTCTGGGACTGGGCAGAAGGTTTTGTGATGCCAACCTGAAGAGCTTAGAACTTTTCAGTTGTTGCAGCTGTCCTTTCTTTTTCCTTTCTTGATCTCTGCTCCTTTTTCTTCCTTGTCTTAGCTGTTTTCCCAAATTCAAGTTTCAGAACATTTAAAATAGGAATATTTCAATTGCTATGTGGATGTGTTGATTTGGGGAGAATAGGATAGGAAGCAAGAACTGGTTTTGAAGGCTATTCCTGGATATGCAAATGTTACAAAGTGTGCAATATGCTGCAAAAGAACTGTTGGCTTGGTTTCATTTTGCCTTGAGCTCAGGTACAATTAACTTTACAAAGATTGCCCAGTAGGAAATTTTTGTACAGAAAAAAAATTCCTTAAGTCCATTGTGAGTTTTCTTCCACCCTGTGTAAACATAGCACTTAAGGGTCAATTTATGAATATCTTATTTAGGTGTTCGCTTTCCCTCCTCAGAAAACGGCACAAACATATTTGGTGCTGCTTCTTTTTATTGCTCTTTTTTCCTGCTCCACCCTTCCTTCCCCACTTTTTTGTTGAGTAGCTTCTTGAGGATGATGAAGAGATGCTTTGATGTTTGGAAAGTTTAATGGGAATACAGCTTTTATTTCAATTTTTGTCCCTTATTATATAATCTTTTGCTTTTGACAAATAGTTGTTTGTAAACTTAACACTGATGTAATTGTAGGGAGTCTGGACTCTTGATTAGCAAGTGCTGCTAGGTGCTCCCAGCTCAAGTTAAAATATCTACCACCCTTCAGGATGTCCATGAAAACAGTTAGGCTTTTTGATTTATTGGGTTTTTTCTTCTCATTTGCTATAGTCATGAATCACAGACCATTCATACTTTCTCCTTTAAGTTAAGGAACTATTCACAAATATCCTAGTGTCCTCAGTTGACAGTTCAATCAGTAGATATAATGGAGTAAGTCACAAAGGAATTTATTGTCTAATACTAGGTTTTTTTCTATGCTAGAAGTTAACAGCACAACCCAACAGCTTTGTTCATTCTTTCTGTTAAAGAGAAGTTGGGTTTGCTAAAATTGTCTAGAGACATCACCTTGTGTGCTGTCTATATCTCTTGAATTGTTTTACTACCTTTCAGTTGCTTCACCTACTGTGAATAAAGTGGTTGGTTCTTATGTCTGTCTTACCCTACTCCTTTATCACAGGTCCTAGTGCCACCAATCTTATAATAGGCTCCATCGCTGGTGCCATCCTGGTAGCAGCTATTGTCCTTGGGGGGACAGGATGGGGCTTTAAGTAAGCACTGCCGCATGTCTTCTCTGGGGTGGCTATGGCATTTATATTTCTTGCTTACATCACTGAATTTTGAGTTCCTGCTACAAGAGTTCTAACGTACACCCCCCACCCCACCTCCCAAACTATAAGAAACTACTTTAACGAGAGAGAATTATGCTTACATGATGATCTTAAAGGTCTTTTCCATCCTTGGTGATTCTGTGGTACCCGGAACAAGAGAAGGAATCAGCTTAAACTAGCAGATGACATCAGGGTGCAAAGCTGACAAACAATACAGGAATTAACTGTCAAGAGTTCAGCCTAACACCTGGGAAGCAAAGTATTTTTTTCACCTCTGGTTAGTGGTGATGGTCTCAGAAGTTGACTACAGTGGTTACAAACCCCAAAATATACATCTTGAAGAGAGTTTTATTTTTAATGCAGTAGTCCTTTCAAACTGAAATTACTGCAGTAATTTTTTTTCTTACAGCTTATTCTAAGTAAATTTAATCCTTTTATTTGTACAGTAAGTAGCCCTAGGACAGCCTCTAGTATTTATAAGTAACTACAGGGCCACTTCAGACAGTGTAGTTTTAATTCAGTCCTATATGTTTTGATTTGTGTTTCATATGGCTGAGATTTGTATTTTCCATGTTTATAAACAGTAAAATAATTTAGTATTTATGCATTTTTAGTATGTAGCTTCATCAAATCTATGATCAAAGAAATTAAAAAGAGGGTGTATTTTGGAATATGCAGTGACAGACATGGGTTCCTATGTGCTGTTAACACGAGAAGGAACTGGGATTCTCTTAATTTGATGGCTTGAAAGATGTCTTCTGTGCAAAGGCCTAGGCAGGGAATAATGCTTGCTCACAGACTCCCTGTAATACTTGGACATATTCTATAGCATTAACTAATACCAGTACATTTGCATTTTTTCTACCAAATCCTACAGATTTAGAATTACAGGAGAGTTTTCTTTTATCCTAATGAAAGCATATTTCAGTTAGTTGCAGACCTGAGGGGTTTTCTTCTATGCACTTCACTGCAATTAGCTTTTTAAAAAATACAGACAAATTTTCTGCAAGGCTTGCATTAACGTTTCTGTTAAAATTTTTTATTTATTAAAAACAATGTCTTGCATGTTTAAAGGGGTAATACTGGAACATTGCAATAAGCAACTACCCATGGGAATTAACTAAGATAGATTTGGTTGGAAAACAAATATCAGCTTATACTTTTGGACTAATTTTCTGCTATCAGAAACATGTCTGTTACGTAGCAATTCATAGACTTTCCAGACAGAGTACTCATTCCTAAATAACACACTTGTATTGCAGAAAGTAATTTGCTTAAAACACAAGTCATTAAAATAAAAAACAGACAGTTTCTTCCTCCTAATCTTTTTAAGCTGTCTTGTGCTGTGACAACCTTTGCTCTTTTACCTACTAGCAGCTGTGTAAGCAGTAGGGATATCTACACTTGAGAACTTGCATGAATACCCATCTTCCTGTCTGTAACAACACAGCATTTGAACAATTGTTTCTTTCTTCCTTCTGTTCCACTTCTCTCAAACCACTCTCACAAGAGTTCAGCTTTGCATCCTGCTGTCATTTGTTTGTCCAAATGTAGAAGCTTGTTATCCCTTTAGAGAATCTGAACTGGGAAATTCTCTTGAAGCTCATATTCTCAGAGTGAGATGCAAATGTTGATTCTGTAGCAGAACCTCAAATACACTGGCCTGGCCTAGCTCACAGCTTGAAGTGCATGTTTCTTCTGGGGGTCAGAGGGGAACTGAAAAGACTTGTATACCAAGGGAGGGCTTGCACATGTAGACCCTCTGATGTTTTGCTTCAGATGTATCTGGAGGTATAGATGAGGATAATAAAGAGGATTTTAACTTTTCCTTTTTAAGCAAGTGATATGTTTAGTCTCTGCAACTGTCAGAGAAGGTAGCTAATGCTTTACAAACTGGGAGATGTGATTTCTGTTTCACAGGTTATCAGATGTTCATATGAACATACGGTACTGTGGTGTCAAGTCCATATCAAACGTAAGCTGCAACTAAGCAAACCTTGTTCATGAACTGAGGTGGTAAGGGGTGGGGGTTGGAGGGAAAGTGTAAAAGAAGGCTTGATGCAAAATTGGAGACGCAAAGTAAAAAACCAAAAGTTACATCCAGTGTCAAGAATGAATCCTAGGTTATTTTTTTTCTAATCAAGTTAATGTTGCATAGAATAGGAAATAAAATGTAACTGACAATTTTAGGGGGTATAGAGCCTCATGACCCATGTCAGGTGGCTTAAAGGTAGAGGCTGTGGATGCAAGCCTTGTCAGGAGCTAGATTTTACTTCAGTTGAGCCCTGTGTAGTGTTTTAAAGCTGTTGGTGTTAGACTGCAGTAAAGGAGTCCTACTGATTTCTACCCTTAATGGAAGAACCAAAGATTTACCTAGTCAGTCCTTACAGATGCCAAGTTTTCAACTAGTCTGCGCAGATGCATTTAGACCCCAAAAGTTTCTGAATGATAAGGCAGTGGAATCCTAAAGGCAATTTAGTGAGGAAGGCAGCTTGGGTTCCTGAGCAGCATTTCCACAAAGCACGTATCATGACCTAAATGCAGTCGTCACTACACAAACATTAACATGAGAATCAAGCGCAAGGTATTTGTTGCACTTTTTTGCAAACCACTAGAATAAATGGCAGGTCAAAGTCTTATTTAACCTGTTAATTTTAGTCTGGCATTTTGTGAATTTGAATCAGTTTTGTAGCAGAAGGTTATTTATTTAATCTCTTCTTCAGCATTTGAACCATGCTTCAGGACTGCCTATGAAAACATTAGCTATTTGAAGTGGTTAAAATACTTGCTTTGGATAAACCTTTAAATACTTAAGTAAAGGTTTGTATTTATGCAATTGCAGACGAACACACAGATTTGCAAGTAATATACTGTGTAACCACATTCCAAAGTAGTTGGAAAAAAACAAAACCAACAAACCCCAAAAAAATCCCAGAGGATGACAGCAAAGTATTTCTTATCTAAATTCAAGGAGTTTTGGACCAGTTCTCTGAAATATTTTTTGTTTTTAAAGATGACCATGTTACTGAGGCAGTGATGTGCTGTAGCATGGTGTGCTTTTTTGACTCAATCTCCTACAATTTTGTTTTTGTCAGAGACACTTTTTCTAGTTGGATTACAGACTGAAAGGCTGACCCTTGTTACTTAAAAAGGCTTAAAACATTCAATGTAAAAAGAAGCTAGTGTTCTAAGATCTTCCACACAGAACAACAAGGAACTAGGAAATAGCATCATTCTCCTATCTGCCCTTCCACAGAGAACTCTTCTGCTCCCACCTTCTCATTGTACTGAACCAGACTGAAAGGAACCTGTACTTCTATAATGTGTAGCTATAAAGAGATATATAAATATCTAGGGCCTGATACACACCTAGTTTCCTTTCTTTATATTGCCATTTTCATAGGAAGAGACTTGTTATATTTGCTGATTTAAGTAAGACTGCTGTTTCATTTTAGTATTAACATGGTTGGTAATTTGGGATGAAGTTTTTAAAGCTTGTTAGGGGAATCAGAATAGCTAGAATAGGCTAATACTTGCCAGCCTCTCTGGAGCGCTACAATCACAGGAGGGGGGTGCAGCAGGCTCTTTTTCAAGCTTTGCATGTGTCCCGTACTCCTTGATTAATGCTGTACCTGATGTTCCGTATTTCAGACTATGTGAGGGTCTCATGTTAAATGGTCTTTTAGTTCTTCACGTTTCCCTCTCGTATAACACTGTTAACAGAATGTCATAAGTGAAGAAAGGCAGTGGTTTGGTTAGTATTTTATTCCCTGAAGGGTTATTTCTGCTGGATAAAACTAGGAAATAAGTAATTACATGGTTTGGACAGATCACAGAACACACATGGTGAGGGCACAGCAGACTTTGCCTGTTGTCCCATGGCATGGGTGCTGCTTGGAGCTGTCATACAACCAAATGGTCTTTACTAGAATACTGCACTGGTGGAATTAAGTTAGAAAAGACTGGATAGGATAAAAGTCAAAAGAGTTTTGTTACAAGAATTGTACTGGGAAGCTAGCATAGCATCTGTCCTCTGTGCCTTCTTTTAAGACTCAAAGTCCATTTAGTTAATTAAAATAAGCTCATGTAATAGAATGTAATTCAGTGTATGTTTTAATGACTTGCCCTCTTCAAGCAAACTGGAACAGGGTACTTGCCCTAGAGCAGGAGGACAGGTTATGTCATCTGGATTTTTTTATTTGTATTGATCATTTTTTTTAAGGGGACTGACTAATTAATTGCTCATTGGTAGCATCTGAATTCAAGTATGCTAGACAGTATTTAAAGGAGGGATGGCAGAGGAGGCAGAGAAGCAGATATGTCCTGTACCCACTGAGACTGGCAGGATGCAAAGCAGACTAACTTACAATTAACCAAGTTATATTACATTCATACTTCCTATCATGCAGCTCTACTAGTTCACCTGAAAAAATAATTTACTTATCTCAAATTGACCTGTATATATTGAAATAACATCAGCCTAATTCAAAAGGAGCATTAGTACCATTGACTTAGAGGGGAAATGATGGAAATATTAATATAGTGATCATCCAGAAACCAGCAACACTTAAAGCATTCACCTTGCAAACATGTAGGTACTGGTGGTAACCAATGGAAAAACAAAAAAACCAAAGGCTGTCCAAGAACTACCAGTCTCTGATAGTCTTCACAAAGAAAAATTGCCTTTTCATGTATCCATTAGTCTCTTAAAACACCAGGCAAATCTTGCATATAGTGTATTTAGAAATATTATCCCAGTGTTAGTAGTTAGAAGGACTGCAGAAAACAGAAAATCCTGGGATTGTTCTGTAGCTTTATGGATTTATGGATAGGGGATTTATGTTTCTCTATTTTTTGCATGTCAGTTTGGTGGTGGTAGTGGTGCATATGCCCAATGTTAAAACTAAATGCATGAGCCCCTTGCTTGATGCCCCACATAAAGCC